GTGTGTGTGTGTGTGTGTGTGTGTGTGTGTGTGTGTGTGTGTGTGTGTGTGTGTGTGTGTGTGTGTGTGTGTGTGTGTGTGTGTTTGTGTTTGTGTTTGTGTGCGTCTGTGTCTCTCTCTCTGTGTGTGTGTGTGTGTGTGTGTGTGTGTGAGGGATGGATGCGTTGGTGTTCATTCCACAAACCCACAGAAGAGTTTTCTCAGCATAGTTTAGCACAGGGGCTTTCAATCTTTTATATTCCATGGACCCCTAAACATTATCACCTCATCCTAACATTTAAGCTATGTATTTTTCATGTGTAAAGACACTAATTTAAATGGGTACACTATATACTATAACAACTAAAATATTTATTTGGGAAAAAAATTAGATTATTTAGGTGTTATGTTTTTTTTTCTATTCACCAGAGCACTGTACTTTCAGTTTGTTTATTTGTTTTTATCAATTTTTTATTGTATATGTATTTATTTTAAAGTAATATTTATATTTACTTATTTTAATGAAATTAATTAATTAAAATCAAATTGTATTCATTTATTTATGCAGTTTTTTACTCCAAGGTTTTCCCCCACTCCTAGTTTGAAAACTCTTTGGCTCATCTTGGCTAGATTCTGTGATCTGGCAAAAGCTACTGAAACTCCATTAATCTTCATAACAGAGATCTGTTCCCTTCCGCATTATGAGATAACTGTTGATATTTAATAACTCTCACTTTTGTGCACGACAGCACTTTAGTTATTGTCTTCCATGGCCATTAAGTGTGACATGAGCCAGGAACCAAACAAGAGAGAGAGAGTTATTATTATTGTTATGTAAGTTATTATATTACTGTTCTTGGAAAAGGCCTCTATCCATCATTAAAGCTGGAATTGTTTACCATTTCTAAAGTGTCTCTTTACGCAGTGTCTAAACACCAAAAGCTATGATAACTGAGCATAAGCACAATTGTATTTTTAAAATTGTATTTATTTTTATTTAAGGATTGAATAACACGTATGCTAGAATGCACATAGTTATCATTCACAGTGTTAAATACACAATCGCTGCGCGGACGTCCATGATTTGACGTACGTCAAGTGTTTTGACAAATCATTTAAAATTAAAAGTATTTACTAGTATGTTTCCATATGTTATTCCACATATATACACACATTTATATTATATTATATTATATTATATTATATTATATTATATTATATTATATTATATTATATTATATTATATAAAATAAAACATGGACTATGCGGGCTAGTTGTATAAAATTAATTATTAGTTTTGGCTTTGGCTTGGATAAAAGAAGTGTATACAACACTTTGTACATTATGTGTATGTTAAGCTCTTTAATGGTTTATTACAATGTACTTTTCATTGCCTCTGTATTTTATTTTATTTATTTATTTTATTTGTTTATTTATTTTATATTAACTTATTTATTTATTTTGAGGGGAGATGACGGATAATTTTTTGGTATTTACTGTTCAATAAATGTATATTTTTTAAAAATAATTATGGATTGGAGGCAATTTAGGTAATAGCACTCTTTCGAAAATATCAAAAATAACAATAAGAACTCCGTTTTATAAAGATTGATTATTTATTTTGATCGATTGATTATTTAGTACATTCTGGCTTTGATTATTTATTTTAGAAATATTATTATTAATTATTACATAGCATACATTACATAATTAATAATAAATGCTAAAAAAAGAAAACAATAAATAAACACTGCACTGTGTCCCTCTAGCGGTGCAGTCCTGAAACTTGAGGAACTGCACACAAACGCACACGTCAACAGAGCCACACTGGAAGAGGGCGTGTCCTGAGGCGAGTCCAAGCTTCTCATTGGATGTCATGTGATTGACGTGCTGACGTTGGCGTTACAGCGCAGGAAGTTTTTAATGAATCGCTTTTGTGTTGAAGGTAAGAGCAGTCGCATTAACTTCATCATTTCACATTGTTTTACGGTTAAATGTGTTTGTTTGTTAGTTTTCGTCAGCTGAAACGAGAGTTTAGTGTTTGTAAAGAGTGTAACTGCATCATTCTGACGCGTTTGAGTCTCTGGATTGTTACATTAAGCTTTAGTGTTGTTTATAATATAGAAACATCGATTTATGTTTAAACAAACCCTGATAAAGTAGGCAAATTGTTAATACTGTTTGTAAATTGTATGGCTTTGATGCTTGACAATGGACAAAACAACACATTTGCATTATTGTTCTCTGTACTCTGGAAGTCATTGATTTGTTAAGTTGTTTTTACTGTTCAGTTGATTTTTATAGAATCAGTAACTTAGTTAAATATTTAAAATGGGGTTAAACAGGGTTTTTTCTCAGTCTTCGGGATGAAAACATGAGCGCACATTCCCTTGGGTTTGTTAATAAATGATGAGGTGTAGTTTACTGCTCATGGCTGAAGATGTTATTCATTCACACAGACTGCTGTCATTTCTATTATGTTTTACTGATCCCATCTATTATTTTAGAAGTTAGATTTTAGATATTAAAAGGTTTTCTTTGGTTAGTCCTGATCAAATGTGCTGCTGAATGCTGTGCTTTTGCCTTAACTTGTGATGAACTTGCCATAGTTTTTCCTCAGTTGTCAGTATTGTTAACTGGATAACTGATGGCATGTACACCACCGTTTGGTAAAAAAATTATATTTTTATTCAGCAAGGATGCATTAAATTGTTCAAAAGTGCCAGTAAAGACGTTTATAATATCACAGATGATTTCTATTTCAAATAAATGCTGTTCTTTTGAACTTTCTATTCATCTGTGAATCCTGAAAAATAAAATATATCACCGTTTACACACAAACATTGTGCAGCACAACTGTTTTCAACATTGATAATAATCAGAGATGTTTCTTGAGCAGCAAATCAGCATATTAGAATGATTTCTGAAGATCATGTGACACTGAAGCTTTGATTTAAAAGAATATTCACATAGAAAACACTTATGTTATATATTAATAATATTTCAAAATATCACTGTATTTTTGATCAAATAAATGCAGCCTTGGTAAACATAAGAGACTTCATTCAAAAACATTACAGTCGAACAATTTGACACACTGGATTTGTGTTATGTTTCATTACTTAAAATGAGTTTTAAACACATTCTGGCTTGTTTAGAGGTCATTAAGGTCATGCAGATGATTGACAGACAGTTACTGTTCTCTGATCTTGCTCACTTACCCACGTGTGATGGTCAACGTTGATATCAGTGCATCAGTATTGAGTTGAGTCATTGTCAAGACTAATGTGATGTTGAACGGAGGCTTCTTCGACGTGAATGTTCACATTTAGAGCCCCGTCCAACAGAATTACAGAGGTTTGTTCTCTCTCTGTGTCTCTCTCTCTCTCTCTCTTAAAGGGGTCATGAACTGAGAAATCAAAATTCCCTTGATCTTTTGACATATAAGAGGTCATTGTACTGTAAAAAAGTTTCAGAACTCAAAATTTCTCGTTAGTCTAAAAACTGCTTATATTGAGGCCAATCTGCCAAAACCACAGGTTGTGGAGTGAGCCACTTAATGACGTAATAGTGAGGATGAACTCCGCGTCCGCAGAAAATCAATGCCTGCTTCTACAGCACTACCTGTTTAGCTCCGCCCACCGATTCTACATCACTGCTTCTTTAGCTCCGCCCACCGACTCTACAGCACTGCCTCTTTAGGCCCGCCCACTGACTCTACATCACTGCTTCTTTAGCTCCGCCCACCGACTACAGCACTGCCTCTTTAGGCCCGCCTACCGACTCTACATCACTGCTTCTTTAGCTCCGCCCACCGACTACAGCACTGCCTCTTTAGGCCCGCCTACCGACTCTACATCACTGCTTCTTTAGCTCCGCCCACCGACTCTACAGCACTGCCTCTTTAGCCCCGCCCACCGACTCACGTGTGTAGTGTAAATAACGAGAGAGGCAAACGCTGGTCTATGCAGAAACCAAACGATAAAGATGCTCCGAAGACAACAAGATGCTGTTCAGTGCCAAAGCTGTCTTTGCATCGCCTTCCTTCTGATCCCAACGTTAGGAAAGAGTAGATGAACTATTTTTAATGAAGTTCCAGTCAGATCACGGCAGTAAGAACTTGGTCCTTTTTTAACTTCATTTCTGCGGATTTGTTTGCAAACAAGGCACAATTCAACGCAGGATTTTCAGAAAGATTGAAACTAAAAGACGATGATGTGCGACTATATTGGATCCGACAGTAATGTTGCACCACACAAGTGAGAGTAACTGTTTTTATTACGTGCTCACTATTGCTTTGTCTGTTATTACAGATCATTTGATATGTACTGAGTATTTATGCTTTTTTAACCTAAAACACAGCAATGTCCATCTATGAAGGATGTTAGCTAATCATAGCATTTACTTCTGAGTTGACGATCCGCCACACCTATTCAAACAGAGCGTTCTGATGAGGGGGTCAAAACAGGACCGAAAATAGCCTATTATTTCTGAATTATGATGTTTTTTGATGTAAAAATCTTGATAACATTATAAGCGGACATCAGAACAGTACAAAATAATTTAAAAAAGGCAGTTCATGACCCCTTTAAAAGCACACAATAGCACATGAAAAGAATGACTGAGCCTGTTACAAACTGCTGGCACGCCTTTCATGCTGTGTGTGTGTGTGTGTGTGTGTTGTTTTCATGTTTAGCTGGTTTAATGTTGGAATAATAGTTTTAATTGCTGTGTGTGCAGTCGGGTCACAGTGTGTGTGTGTGTGATTTTCAGAAGACTTGCGTGTGATGTGTGTAGATGTGTGTGTGTGTGTGTGTGTGTGTGTTGAGAGAGAGAGAGAGAGAGAGCTGTTGAATGTACTGGGTCTCTCTCAAAATCACCAGCATCACCTTCTTTGTTCGTTTTGCACTCAGCCATAACAGAGAGACACAGCATAAGGGCTTGAATATAAGTAAAATAAGCTGTGGATGTGGATGATAAGTCCAGATAGTTAGTGGTTAACTCAGCTATAGGATGAAGGAGGTTTTTACTCCTCGATGGCAGCTGAAGGGTGGAGGGTTCCAGGTTTTACAGGACTTCATCATCATCATCATCATCTGTCACTCTGGGTAGGTGCTCATCGTGGATCATCAGAGCAGGAGAATCTCCTCTGTATGTTTGAGAAATGATAGTGCACTTTTTCTCCCTATGAAGCCTTCTGTTTCATATTTGATACACAAAGGCCTCTAAATTATCAACATGAACAAAACTTTGTTGTTAAACCTGTTTCACACATTCTGTCGTCTGATTGATAGTTTAGAGTTAATTATCACGTCAAAGCTCTTTTAGTATAATTGTACAAATGTCCACTTTCAGCTTGTGCTTCATGTGTCTTTTTGCTGTCAAATCTTTATAGTTTTTTATCAAGTAAACTTAAGAATAACTTTTATTAGTATTTCAAGATGAACACTTACTGGACTCAAGCGACTTAGGTTTGCTTGATTATTTTTTTAGAAAAATCATGATTATCAAATATGGTCATCAGGCTTTTGAGGATAATTTGTTTGTTCATCTCTCAATCATCATTGTATTGCATTGCGTTGCGTTATATGTTTTGATCATCAAACTAAGTATTTAAATCTCATCTTACTAATACTATTGGAGATATAGAGTGACGACTAATATTTATATAATTTTATGTAAGTATCTGCTGTACTGTTATAAAGATCACATGATTTACATTACAAATGGTCAGAATTTCATCTTTTTGTCCATAAAAATATTGGCACCAAATTGCATAGGCTATTTTTTGCTCAGTTTGGGCCTCTGAATAAAAAGCTTGTTTTTTCTTCCATATTGTCACTATATCATAATATATTATCATAATATATGAGCCATAAAAGCCTGATGGATCAAATATGATACTCAACAAAAACACTTGTGCAAGCTTCTTTCTTTAAATTTTGATTTTTGTCTAACTTTTATTTCATATGTCAGTCTTTAAAGGGTTAAAAATGTGTGTGTGGCACAAGGTATTCAAATAATGTCGGCAATTTCATGTTTGTCTTATGATGAAATTGTATTTCATAAGTTTTATTTGTCTTTATATCAGCCATCAGACACCCTGATCTCTAAATTGGCATCAAGTTTTGGAAAATCCAGATCCAAACGCTGAACTGAGTTTGTGTTTTTGTTTGTTCACAAGTCCCAAGTCTCAGTTAGTCTAGCACATAGCATGGTGTTTATTTATTTATTTTTAAAAAATTTATTTTTTTGATGAACCTAGCTGTATAGAGAAGTTATGATGAAGTGCTGGGTTGAGACCACGAGCAGTTCTGTCTTAGCAAGTTTGAGTTGAAGATGATGGTCCTTCATCCAGCCAGAAATGTCTGTCAGACAGGCTGCAATGCGAACAACTACTGTCGGATCATCTGGTTGGAATGAGAAGTAGAGTTGAGTGTCATCAGCATAGCAGTGATAGGAAAAGCCATGCTTCTGAATGACAGATCCTAATAATGACATGTAGATGGAGAAGAGAAGTGGTCCAAGCACTGAGCCCTGAGGAACCCCAGTAGCAAGTTGTGACTTGGAAATCTCACCCCTCCAAGACACCCTGAAAGACCTACCTGAGAGGTTAGACTTGAACCACTGGAGTGCGGTTCCTGAGATGCTCATCTTTATGAGGGTGGACAGAAGGATCTGGTGGTTAACTGTGTCAAAAGCAGCAGACAGATCCAGCAAGATGAGCACTGAGGATTTGGAAGCTGCTCTTGCCAACCTCAGGGCTTCAGTAACCGAGAGCAGGGCAGTCTCCGTTGAGTGGCCGCTTTTGAAGCCAGATTGCTTGTTGTCCAGGAGGTTGTTCTGTGCAAGAAACATAGAGAGTTGGTTGAACACAACTTGCTCAAGTGCCTTTGCAATAAATGGAAGAAGGGATACCGGTGTGTAGTTTTCTAAAAGTACTGAATTTAGAGAGGATTTCTTAAGCAGTGGGGTTACCCGAGCTTGCTTAAATGCTGTGGTAAATGTACCAGTGTGAAGAGAAGTGTTGATAATGTAATTGAGCACAGGTATAACTGAAGAAGAAATGGCCTGAAGGAGGTGAGTGGGGATAGGATCAAGTGGACAGGTACTAGGATGATTGGAAAGGATACGTTTGGAAACGTCTGCCTCTTGAGAGTGGAGAGAAGGAGGAGAGAGAGTGTGTAGTTGTTGTTATGAAATTTTTGTCAGTTTGTGGTGTGGAGAATTGGCCGCTGATGGTTCTTGTTTTATTTATGAAGAATATTGCAAAGTCATCAGCTGTAAGAGTTGATGAAGGAGGAGGGGGGCTGATGGTTCTTGTTTTATTTATGAAGAATATTGCAAAGTCGTCAGCTGTAAGAGTTGATGAAGGAGGGGGGGAGGACAAAGAAGAGAGTAGAAGGTTTTGATAAGTGTGCGAGAGTCAGACCAATGGTTAATTCTGTTGTGGTAATATGTCGTTTTAGCAGTGGAGACATTTGCAGAGAAGGAAGAGAGGAGAAACTGATACACACTAAGGTCAGTAGAATTTTTTTATTTGCGCCACTTCCTCTCTGCAGCCCTGAGTTTAGAGCGATGTTCACGGAGAACATCGGACGGCCAAGGGGCAGAGGGGGAAGTGCGTGCTGCTTTGGTCTGGATGAAAGGGGGCAAAAGTTGTCTAAGCAAGATGTTAGAGTGGAGCAAAGAGTATCAGTAGCAGTATTAGTGTCCAGTGCTGAAAACTGAGAGGGTGGAGGAAGTGAGGATGAAACCATAGAGGATAGGCGAGAGGGAGAGTGTGAGCGTAGGTTACGCCGAAAGGTGACCTGCGGAGGAGTGTGTGTTGTGTCCGGAGTCAGTGTGAGGTTAGAAGTGATGAGGAAGTGGTCTGAGGTGTGCAACGGAGTAACTAAAGTGTTGTCAGTGGCGCAGTAGTGTGTGTAGATAAGGTCTAGTCAGTTAGCTGATTTGTGAGTAGTCATAGTAGACACTCGCTTGAGGTCGAATGAGGCAAGCAGAGTGTTGAAGTCAGCAGCCTGTG